GGGATCATAGGTAGAATAATATAATGAGAAAATTGAGGGGCGGGGGGGCGTCATTAGTTTGCTACAAACACGTGTTCGTTGTCTGTCGCGAGGAAGAATGATGCGTTATCGTTGGTCGGCCAGCTGAGAGTGGTCGATGCTTCTTCAAGAAACGCACACACAAAATCACGGGGGTTTTCCGTCCTCGGCCACACGAAGACTGGCGGTCTTTTCATTGGCCAATCACGAGGCCGATGATACATGTACTCCAAGAAACACATCCCCCCTGTTCATGTCTGATTTTTGGCACAGCAAACGCGAGGGTGATGACCAGGTTCTAGTTCACCGTAGCCTGGGCCGGCGAAAACCCAGCACATCGCTCCGTCCTCCTCTCGAGGACGCGCGCCCCACAGGTCTAACAAACGAAGGCATGCAAACACACGAGTCCCTCATACCCACCGGCAAGCCGAAACGGTACCGGTACAAGCCCCCGTCCCCCTCCCTGACTTTCTCCAGCAGCGTGCAGACGGACCAGTCGTTCGCCGGCAGCACCACCGCCTCCGGCCCGAACGCCTCTGCCCACTGCTGGGAACGCCGGGACGCCCAGGACCCCAGGGAACCGGCCCATACGCGCGCGCCGTAGCGGAGTCCCGGGAAGGCGGACGCGAGCTTGCCGGCGACGCCGGCGGCGGGCGTCGCAACCGGGCCCAGCGTGTTGCCCACGGTTACCGTGCTGCTCTTGCTGCGGCGAACGGAAGGATGGCATTGTTGTCGTTGCGGGGAGGGGGGGAGGGGGGGAGAAGGAAGGGGAACAACACGGCCGCGGCCATCAGTTATATCGAAAACACGTGATCGAGGTGAAGCAGCAGCCAGGGGGAGACGACCCCCCTCGGCGTACTCCCTGCCCGTCGCCTTCTCTGTCTGCATCTTTCTGTTTCTTGCCACCCGTTACGAACAGCCACTGTACTCCACCTCCTCTCGGTGTGCGCCTACTGTAGGTATTCCTTCCACTCCCCACACCCTAGCCCACGGACAAGCCCTGCCCTCCTCTTCTTCTAACCCACCAGACCCACGAAAAATTAGCACCCCCCCCCCCATAAAACCTTGAAACAACCATTCCCTCACGCGCGTCACCCCCCCCCCGAATTCCTTACCCCACGGCTCCCAACAAGCGAGGGATCCCAACGGTCACCCCGACCACCCCCAGGAAAACAGCGGTGGTTGTCCCCCACATCACCGGGGGCACAACGGGCTCTGGGATGACCGACCTATCCCGGCTGACCTCCAACAGGGGGGAAAAAAAAAAAGCCAGCACGCCCCCGCTTTGCTGCCCTTGTTGTTGCTGCCGCCGCGGAAAGAACAACCCCGTATCAACGTTGGAAAAAAAAGTAAAAAATGGAAAAAAAAAAACTTTCAAGGGTGCCGAAAAAAAAGGGTGCCTGCCCACC